TGTTGTGTGGCTTTAGCAAGTTGCTTAATTTCTCTGTGCCTACATTCCGTAATCTGTAAAATGGGTATAATATTACCATCTATCTCTATAGGGCTGTTGTGAGAATTAATAAATTACTTTGAACCACATCTGGTTCATAAGAGCTCAATGAGTGTGAGCCACTAGTGTTACCCTCTTGGCCTTCTAAGCACCCCCAACAAACATGCAACCTAAAAGAAAACAGGGTGTGTCAAGCATCTCCACCCCACCCTTTCCCAGGCTACAGGCCCTCCTGTGTAGCAATGCAAAGGGTGCCACAGCTTGGAAGGGTCCAAGCCTAAGGGGGAAATGGTCAGAATTTTAAAAGATTCCTCTGTGAACATTGTCAGGAGTTTTTAAATCCTTCAGGCTGCTGGGTGGGCAATGGAGAAAAGGGAGCTGAGTTGGAGGCCTTGGAGAGTGTCCAGAAGAGAAAGGATGGGGCTAAGACTAAGGGGAAAAAATGTTTGTTGAAGTGAATTGAAATGTCACCTCCAGATGTAGGGTGACTGGAACTCTGATACACTGCTGGTGGGATGTGAAATGGTCCAACCACTTTGGAGAACTGTTGGAGAGAATCAAAGCTAAAACGTGTACCTCAGGACCCAACAATTCCACCTCTGGGCACCTATCCAAGAAAACTGAGTGCAATTGGCCACCAAAGGACAGACATATCACCAATGCTCACAGCAGCGTTATTCACAATAGACCCACACTGGAAGAGCCCCTAGTATCATCACCAGGAGCATGGAGGGAGCAATTGTGGAATACCCGTGCAATGAAATGCTACTTCATACAATGATGTAGATGAACCCCTCACACAGGTTGAGTAAAAGCAGCCAGACCCAAGAGAGTCCACGCGGTGTGGTTCCATTTCTGTGAAGTTCAAGAAGAGGCAAAACTAATCTATGATAATAGAAGTCAGAATAGTGATTACTTATTGGGTAGAGAGGAGGTACAAGGAGCTTCTGAGCTGCTGGAAATGTCCTATATCTTGGTCAGGGCGGTAGCGACATAGGTTTACATACATGTAAAAAGTCATTAAGCTGAACATGTTTGATGAGTGCACTTCACTTTCTGTATGTTAAACTTCAATTTAGTCAACAAACTAAGTATAAGAACCAAAATTATATAACTATTAGAAGAAAACATGGGGATAAATGTTCATATATCTGACAAAGGTTTGGTAGCCAGAATATGTAAAGAACTCATAAAATTCAACAACAACAACAAAAGCAAGCAACCCAATTAAAAACAGGCAAAGGGCTTGAATAGACGTTTGTTCAAAAAACATATACAAATGCCCAACAAGCACATGAAAAGATGTTCATTGATCATTACGGAACATGATTGGTTTTTTAAGAATGCGCAAATCAATCACAATGAGATATCACTTTACATCCTTCAGAATGTCTTTCATTTTATAAAATGGAAAATAAGTGTTGGCAACGATGAGGAGAAATTGAGAACCTCATACATTGCTGATGGGAATGTAAAATGGGGCAGCCACTTTAGAAAACGTTCTGCCCGTCGTCACAAGGTTAAACAGAGTTTTCATATGACCCAGCAATTTCACTCTTAGGTATAGACCCAAGATCAATGGAAACACATGTCCACACAAACAACACTTGTACACATGTCCATGGAGCATTATTCATAATGGCCAACAAGTAGCCACAACCCAATGTCCATCACCTGAAGAATAAATAAACAAATTGTGGTATACCCATACGGTAGAATATTGTTCTGCCATAAAAAGGAACAAAGTACTGATACATGCTACAACATGGAAAAGCCTGGAAAACACTATGCTAAGTGAAAAAAAAACAAATGCAAAAGGTCACATATTGTAAGATCCCATTTATATGAAATGTCCAGAATAGGCAAATCCCTGGAGACAGAAAGCAGATTCGTGGTTACCAGGGGATGGGGGAAGGTGGAATTGGGAGCGATTACTTAATGGGTATGGGATGTTTTTCTGGGATGATAAAAAAAGTTTTCAAACTAAAGAGAAGTGGTGGTTGCACAACATTGTGAATGCACAAAAATCCACTGAAGTGTACATTTTAAAATGGTTAATTTTATGTTATGTGACTCTCACCTCAATTTTAAAAATAAATAAACTTCAATTTAGAAAGTGAATGGAAACTGAAAAACACCAACATCACCTCCAAGGCCCTGGGGGCACTAACGGAACCTACTGGGTGCAGAGCACACGCCTCCATTACCTCCTTTCCCCTCACTGCAGCCCCAAGAGGTGGGGATTCTCAGGGGCTCAGAGAAAGAAAGTAACTGAGCCAGGCTCACACAGCTGCCAAAAGACAGTGCCTGGATCCCTGAGACCTCCCGGCCCCCAGACTCCTCCAATCACTGTGGCCCCCTGGGATTCTCTTCTGGCCTCCCTGGGTGGGGGCTGGTGAGGTCAGGGGCCAGGAACGTTGCTGCAGCCACCAGGCGGGAGTTAGTGACTGAGAAGCTTGGAATGTGCTGCCTCTGAAAGGACCTCCTTGTGGCTCCACCGACGGTTAGAGCAGGAAGGGACTTTCAGAATCATGTAATCACACACACACACACACACACACACACACACACACACACACACACACGAGACCTGAGCCTGGGCTCAGTCACTGTCCCAGGCTGCATGGGGAGCAGACAGGGTGTTGTTTCTGGAGCAGGCAGATGGATGCACTCCAGGCTGACCTGATTCAGACCCTGCATGTGCCCCCATCTGGCCCTCTGTGTCACCCTGACCTGTCCAGCCTGGACGCAGCCAAGGAGTCCAGATATCAGTTAATGCGTGTGTGTGCGCTTGCACGCTGCATGAGGATGTTAGTGTGTGATCAGGGCCCCAAGGGCTCCCAACTCTGGGGCTTTTTATTCATGTGTATATTTATTTTTGCTATTTGTCTATTTTTGCTAAGTTGTTACTATATGCGGTGCTTACACCTGACGTGTTATTTCTATTCTCCAGCTACCCTGAGATGTAGTGATTATTATGTCTCCATTTTACAGATGAGCAAACAGAGGCTCATTGAGAGATTGTGTTTCTCACCTGGGTCATACAGCTGGTGAGCAGCAGAATTCAAACTCAGAACCCAGACTTGTCTCATTCCAGCATATGTGTTCTTTTCCATGGGTGACACTGCCTCAAAAAAATCTCTCTCTCTCTCTCTCTCACACACACACACACACACACACACACACACACACACACACACACACATTTCTACATTGCTCATTCTGGTAAATTGCTATTGGGTTTTTTTCATTTTAGAGAAAGATAAGCATTGAGTAGAACAAGGGCAAGGGAGAGGTACCAGCCTGGTAACCACCTTCTGAGTGTGCCGCAATTTACAGCTTACAAAGCACTTTCACATTTGTGATCTCATTTGATCCCACAGCAGCCCCATGAGGTCAGCAGGAGGCTCAATTATTCCCACAGCGACTGGGACTCAGAGGGAAGGTGACCACCTAGGATCACAGAGACAGAAAATGGTAGCTCTGGGACTGGAAGCCCAGAGCCAAGCTAGCCTTCTGGTTCTACGATAAGTTCTGTGTGTAGCCTGGCCTCGGTCCCTAAAAAGGCAGCCCAGGACTCCACCTCCCTGAAGTCTTCTTTCCCTGAAGACAAAACTTGAGCCGATCAAATGGAGGTACCAGTGGAAAGCCAGAGAGCCCAGCTCTCTCTCTGTAGCTGTGTGACACTGGCAGTTCCTTCCTCCCTCTGGGCTTCAGTTTCCTCATCTGTAAAATGGAAGGGAGCAGAGAAGCTTTGGGGTGGTCTTCTCAGCACTGCCATTCTGCGCGTGTGAAAAGGCAGCTATGAGGGCTTTGGAGGAGCTTGCCTGAACATAGGCTTGGAGCTGTCACAGTCCTAACTTGGCAAAATGCTTCAGCCACACGCTTAGTGATTTTAGGCACTTCATTTCAACATCTCTCAGCCTCCGTTTCTCCATCTGCAAAATGGGAGTGATGATGGTACCTACCTCCCAGGGTTGTTGGCCTTTGATTGTTGTTATTTGATCTTGGCCTCACAGTCACATAGACCTTTGACACAATCTCCAAACAAGGCTGATGACCACACAGCCCCAGAAGAACAATGACAGTATTTAAAGAAGATTGCATTTTTCAGGCCACAGGACTGAACTGCTTATAGAGGCTCTGAAGTCGAAACTTGTTATAGCTCCTGAAATTATCCTGTGAGTAGTAGTACAATTATATTGCATTGTATTTGTGGGTAGTTCAAAACATTAGCTTGTTCACTGCACGCATTTAAAATATACCATCCCTTTTGTAACCCTAGTTTGTCATTTATTCACTTTTTAATATACTTGAACCTTAAAACAATGCCAGCGGAAGTGGCCCAGGCCACGTTGAGTGGTAGTAGTATTGTTCCTGGCATGAAATAAGCACTCAGTTAATAATAACAACAATAATTGTAATAGTAGTAGTAATAATAATATCAATCACATTAATAATCCACTTTAGTTTCCAGACCCTTTTCACAGTCTTCATTCCAACTCCCACGCCCTAGGTATCTATGTGAGTATTCCTTCCCATTTTACGGATGAAGAAACCGAGGCCCTACCAGGACGTGAGAGGGCTCCGGAGAGCCTGCCGGGGCTGGGCGGGGCGGGGCGGGTCCCTGGCTGCTCGCAGGTGTGTAAATCGGCGGGGAATCCTCGGCTCCACCCTGGCGCTGCGAGGAAATAGCACCATGTATGGGCAGCTACGTCAGAGGGGGGCGGAACCCCCGCTGTAGCTGGAGGCCCTAAGTCCTCCCTTTTCCCCACGAAAAGGCTGCTACAGCCCGGTAGGAGGTGTCGAAAAGTTCGGGGAGGAGTGGCAAAAATCGGTGCGCCTGGAGAGGCGGAGCCCTGAGGTGACCCGCGGCGCTGTGCAACGTCCCCACCCCCGTCGAAGTGGTTCAGCCCGAGGACTTTTCATTCATAAAAAGAAAAGACTCGGCGAGGAGCGAGTGAGTCAGAACCAAGCCGCCGACGCGGACCCCACAGAGCAGCCAGCCCAGGGCATGTTCCGAGACTTCGGGGAACCCGGACCGAGTTCCGGGGCCGGCGGTGCGTACGGCGGCCCGGCGCAGCCCCCGGCGACAGGCCAGCAGCAGGTGAGAGGGACTCGACGCCTGGGACGCTAAGGTCCTCTCCCGCACGCTCCGGACTGGGGCTGGGAGCAGGAGTAGGGACCGGCCCTGAGGGCCGTGGTCGTGGGTCCTGCCCACTCTCCGCCGTCCGCGGGCGCTTTCCCTCACAGCCCAGCCGAACGCACGCGGAGCGCGGAGCCAAGATCCGCGCACGTCCCCTCTCTTGCCCCCTTTACCTTGCTACTTGTCCCTCCGTCTCTGTTAACTTCTTTCTGTCCTCTTCTCCGCCGCTAATTTCTTTGTCACCTGCGTTAGAAAGGGACCCCGGACGGTCACCTGCGTTAGTCCTAGCCCTGACAGAATCACAGGGTCTGATTCATCTCGGACCAAATCCCCGGGAATGGGATCGGAGTCCGAGCTGCGACTGAGAAGTCCCCACACAGGAGGGACGCGGGATCCATCGGCAGGCTAAGCCCTGACAGACTAGGAATCCTTCGCACTGTCTGTCACCGTCTGTGTGACTGTCCGTTTGTCTGTCTCTCTCTACCCCCGTCGCCAAGTCCCTATCCCCTTCTCGGCGCAATGCAGTCTGGTGGGCTCCGGGAGACTGGTTCTTGGCCCCCTTCCTTTACAGGTTGGGGCCAATCGAGATCGCGAGGTGCCGGGACGTGCTAGGGGTCATGCGGCGGGTAACGCCTCCATCTCCGACTCTCGGCACCGAACGGCGCCGGCTGAGGGCTGGGGGGACCGGGAGACAGCAGGTGCCCATTTCCTGTCGAGGGGCGGCGAGCACGTGTTACTAGGGGAGGGAAGGAGCAGCGTCCGTTCCGCCGAGTCACGGCGGCCGAGTCACGGCGGCTGACTCACACGGGGCGCCCCTCCCTTCCTGGCCCGGAGCGGCCCGGGCCGGGGCAACCTCGGGAGAGCGAGATGCCGCCGGCGGTGCCTCAAGCCCGGAACTGGGGTCACCGGGCCACTGGGACCGTAGCGCTGAGCCGGGGACACCGCTGTACGGACTTGCCTGGGCTTGAGATGGTGCTTCCCGGACGACTGGGCGCCCACACCCAGAGCCCAGCCCCAGAGCTTGAACTCAGTTCTTCTCCCCGAACACTGAGCCCCCATCTAAACCCATTCCTCACATTTCTGGCTGAAAGAGAATAGTGGCAGGTAATACCTGGAGCGCATACAGAACAGCCAGGCATGCGGGGCGGTCTTCACCTCATTTATCGTATTTCACAGAATCTAAGACTTTATGCTTTTAAAACCCATCATTATTTTGTACCACTAAATTTTTTTAGAAGTTGCCAATTAAACTACGATTTCAGATCTACTAAAAGGTACTTCTTAGCATCAATGAAATGCCGTAATACTCACCTATGACAATGTTAAAAACGAGGAAACTGAGACACATTGAGGTTAAATAACTTGGTCAGAGTCACAGCCAGTAAGTGGACTGAGCTAAGATTAGAACTGGGACAGCCTGAACCCAGAACAGTGGCCCTTGCCCCCCACAGCCCCTGGTACCTGCCACTTACCAGGCTCTGTCACACACATTATCTCACCGGATTCTCACAGCCACCCTCAGAGTTAGGAGCTATATAATTATCCTCTTTGTGCAAATGGGTCTCAGGCAGGGTGCAGGAGTGGGTAAAAGCCTGGCTGCCTGGGCCCAAACCCCACTTCCCATTTACTGGCTGTGTGTCTATGGACAACTGTTTACCTGTCTGAAAATGAAGATACTGTTGTGCAAAGTGTATGAGTCAGTATTTGTAAAGTGGTTGGGTCAGCGCCTGGAATTCACACTTTATAAGCATTAACTCTGATGGGAAAATGGAGGTACAGAGAGGTTATGTGACCTGCCTAAAGTCACACAGCTCACGAGTGGGAATTTGTCACTCAGTTAGTCTCTCTAACTGCCAAGCTGTGCCCTTTCCGGTCTCTCAGGGGCTGTCTTGAGGGTGGGCAGAAGTGTGGCTTCTGTCTACTGGAAACCCCTCAATTCACACAGACCTCACCCCTGGCCTTCCATTTCTTATCCCTCAGAAGTTCCACTTCGTGCCAAGCATCAATGCTGTGAGTGGCAGCCAGGAGCTGCAGTGGATGGTTCAGCCTCACTTCCTGGGACCCAGCAACTACCCCAGGCCTTTGGCCTATCCCCAGTACAGCTACCCACAACCCCGGCCAGGAGTCATCCGGGCCCTGGGGCCACCTCCAGGGGTACGTCGCCGGCCCAGTGAACAGGTAAGGAATAGAGACTTGGCACTGGTTCTGATGCCCACAGGCGTGCTAAGGTGCAGAGGATAAGCTCTTGCCCAAAGGGAGAACACAGACTTAGAAGCGGGGAGAAGGTAGCACCACTGGTGACTATTGACCAAGGAGGAAAATGAAAGGAACCCCTGGGGAGACCTAGAGGGCAAAGAGGTCACTTTTGGATCAGGGAAAGCTTCCTGGAGGTGGAGGCATATTAGCCTAGAAGACTGGGTAGGATTTGAATAGAGTTGAGGACATTCCAGGTAGAGGGGATGGCAGGAGCAAGAATGGAGATATGGAGGTGAGACCATGTAAGGTGTACATGTGGGAAGGGGCATGGACAGTAGTGAGGATCTACCTATTGATATGTATAAAGAGGGTGGGCTTATGCTGCCTATGTAGCTGGGGAGAGAACAGAAAGGAGAGGGTTGCCTTTAGCTACTCTCCAGGCCAGTTTTCCTTTCATTTAAAACCTCACAAAAACCTTCTGTGGCGTGTACTCTGGTTTTCCCCGTATTACAACAAAGGAAATGTTGGTAAGGTAAAGTCACTTGCCCAAGATCACATAAGTAGTGAGAAATGAGACAGGTCTATCCAATTCTAACGTTAGATCCTAACCACCAAGCCAGCCTCACCCAGAGCTAAGAGAAGGCTTGAAGCAGAGTAAGCTAGCACTTCTTGCCTCCCCAACCAGGGTTCCTGCCTGCATGCTGGTAATAAATTCCTTAACAAAATGAATAAGAGGTAGAGAGGGTCTTTAAGGGAGTGGCACCTCTTTCCTCTTCCTGGAGCATTTGGTATATGAGACTGTAGTGGGTGAGGTTTGCACATTAAAGAGACTCCTCTGACAACAGGGTAGAGGATGGGGAGGGAGGCTGGGGTCCTGGGAAGATGTGCATTCGGCCCTGCAGAATGGCTGGCCTTTGTGACCAGCTGGAAGGGGACTGTGGTATGAAACCCAGAGGCAAGCTCCTGGGTTTTCTTCAGTCAGCCCTGTCCTGAAGGTGGCCTTTGATCCTGGGTACTCTTAGACTGAGGCTGTAAGCTGTGAATGGGGTCCTTTTGGGGGAGGTGCTGTCCATCAGCTGGCCTCTCGCTCCATGTTGAATAGAGCGGATTTTAATTTCTGCTCTAGGGCCATAAACAAGTTATTCATCCTCCCTGGGCTTCAGTTCCTTATATGGAAAGTTGTGTTAAGAATCTACCTAAAGCACTTAGCTGGCACACAGTAGATTCCCAATAAATAACTACTTAGCAGCACCCCTTAGCCTCTCCTAGTGCTTATAGCTTCTGGAAAAGAGGAGGCTTGGTTATCAAGAGACTGAAAAGAATAAGGGTCCTTCGAAAAACGGTGGCCCGGTTCCAGGGGAAAAGGCCACTTCTAGGTGGGGAATGAGAGAAGGCTGCTTCCCAGGAGGCGGAGGTTGAGTCCTGGGAGATGAGAAGGGTTAAGGTTTGTGGAGGTACGGGGCAGGGCATTCATCCCAAGAGGGGCATCGCAGAACGCAAAAGCTGGGTTCGAGGAGGAAATTGGACTAACGCAAGTTTATTAAAGCGTGTGAGTACGGAGAACCGGTCGGGATGCAATGATCGTTAAAGCGCAGGATGAGGGCACCCCAGTGCTGCCATGCCTTCCACCTGGGTCCTACCACTGGGTCACCGCCCCAGGGGAGTGCCCAACAGCCAGTGGCCCAGGATCCACCTCATTGCTCCCTCTACCCGCCAGATCAGTCCGGAGGAGGAGGAGCGCCGTCGAGTGAGGCGCGAGCGGAACAAGCTAGCCGCAGCCAAGTGCAGGAACCGGAGGAAGGAACTGACCGACTTCCTGCAGGCGGTGAGCAGTGGTCGGTGCGAAGGGTGCCCAGGCCCCGGTCCACCGAACCTCTGAGGGGCCCCGGCTCCCGTGAAGTCCCCTCCCCCAGCTCCCTGTCGGAGGGAGTCCTTTGGAGAAAAGGACGAGGAAGAGGGGATTAAATATCATTTGCAGCATGCCTTACTAGAAACAGAGCAGAGCAGCGCTGAAGCCTCAGCTGACAATCTCCTAAGACTCCCCCAGCCCTGATTGGAGTCGTGCCCCTTTTCTCCCAAGGGCTCATGGGAGTTGTAGTCCACACTTGTTGGAGACGCCCACTCATCCTACCCCAACCCCACAATCACTACCACCGCGTAAGGCGACGCGCGGTATTCGGCGTTCATCTTCTTGACTCCTCTCCTGACCCTCTTCCTGCAGGAGACTGACAAACTGGAAGACGAGAAATCAGGGCTGCAGCGAGAGATTGAGGAGCTGCAGAAGCAGAAGGAGCGGTTGGAGCTGGTGCTCGAAGCCCACCGCCCCATCTGCAAAATCCCGGAAGGGACCAAGGAGAGTGGCACTGGCCGCACAGGCGGCACCAGGGGCACCAGCAGCCCACCATCCTCTTCCGGCCCTGTGCCTTGTATCTCCCTTTCCCCAGGGCCTGTTCTTGAACCCGAAGCATTGCACACCCCCACGCTCATGACCACACCCTCCCTGACTCCTTTCACCCCCAGTCTGGTCTTCACCTACCCAAGCACTCCTGAACCCTGTGCCTCAGCCCATCGCAGGAGTAGCAGCAGCAGTGGGGATCCGTCCTCTGATCCCCTCGGCTCCCCCACCCTCCTGGCTTTATGAGGCACCTCAGCTCCCCTCCCTGCGGGTGCCACCCTAGCCAACATATCTCCATCCATTGGTCCAGCTGGCCTGGGCCATATCCTATGCCCAACCCCAGCAGGTTCTTCTCCATCCCTCCAGATGAGACTGAGCATATTTTGCTTCCTAGTCGAGCCAGCTTGGGGGCACCAAAGCTGCCCAGTTTCTCTAGAGCTGGCCTCTCTAGAACAGTTTGCACTAAATCAGAGACAAAATATTTCCCATTTGTGCAAGAGAACTCCCAGCAGCCCCAAATGACTTTGGAGATCCCTAGTGGTCCTCTGGAGCCCTAACCCCCTCCAGACCACCCCTATAGTCTTCATCACCCTCTTCCTGTGATCCATCCAACCTTACCCCTTGACAAGTGATATGCTACCAGCCTAGAACACTAACTCACCCAGCCCCACTACCAGCAGCACCAGGTGATTGAACCAGGGCATTTTGCTGACCCCTCTTGAAAACAAGGCTCAAGAGGGTGCCAGAGGCTTCTGTGATGAGCTGACCTGCAGTACCCAGCTCTGAGAAGACTTTAGCTCCGGAGATTCCAGGGAATCCAAGCCTCCACCGCAAGGGCAGCTGCTATTTATTTTCCTAAAGAGAGTATTTTTATACAAACCTGCCAAAATGAAATAAAAGGCTTGAAGCTCTGGCCTGGTTTCATTGGATCCAGAGGCTAAAGGGAGGACGTTTGGAGCCAGAAGCCTTAGGCTCAGTTCTCAGCTCCACGGACTCACTGCATGAACTTGGACAAGCTATTTGATATTTCTGGACCTCGATTGTCTTATCTGACAAATGAAGTTACATCTGTTCTGCCTCATCTCCAGGATTGAGAGGAAGAGAGTGCTGTGGGATGCAAGCCAAGAGGGTTGTCATCCTCCTCCTGGTGGGGGCCCATCTAGCTCCTGCGTGTGCCACAGGAGGGCGCTGTTATCGCTATTATGCCTCTTCCAGCCTCAGGGGAGGCGACTGAGTGGCTTCTAGGCCCCCAACACCTGCATCCTGCCACATTGTCTAGGACAGGAAGGAGCCGGGAAGGGAGCTGGAGTCACTTCAGGGGCCGGATCAAGGCCTGCCCAAGGCCTGACGGTGGTGGTGGGGGAGGTGTTGCCAGCGGCTTACCACGGTCGCACATCCCGCCTCAGGCTTGAGGTAATGGGGGGAATCAGACACCTTAGTTCTGTAGCCCCACCAGATGGGACTGATACACGTCTCAACATCCCCGCCTTGTCCTAGCCTCGGCGAGTCCCAAACAGACGCTGCCCAGGCCAAGGGCTCTGCTTCCGTCCAGTTTATTAGCCCCCACCCAGCCCCCTGCAAGTCCCTCCGCTCCAGCTTCCAGTCCCCCTGATGCCCTGCCAGGGAGAGCGAGAGGCCCTCTTCAGTGCCAGGGTTTCTAAGTCCAAGCCAGTGTGATCCGTCGTGTGCAGCCGGGGCGGCTTCCAGGTCCCGAGGTCTACCGCAATTCGAGCGCTTAGGAAGCCATCCGGGCGGGCGTCGGCGTGAAGGAAGCTGCGTCCTCAGTCATCTGGGGAGCAGGCCAGGGGCAACTGATCGGGACTACCCACGCTGCCGGTGCTGGAGCTCCCATCGCCCAGGTCGCGGGGCCCGCAGGGGGGCAAGGCGAGCTCAGGTGTTGGCCCGGCGCCTGAGCCCCCGGCGCCGCCGGGGCCGCCACGGGGGCCCCATTCCTCGCCCAGTGCCAGGCAGAGCTCCTTAAGCGCCAGGTTCTCCCGCAGCAGCTCCTCCTGGCGGCCCTCCAGCTCGGCCAGCTTCTGCCAACAACCGCCGAGGTCCTCGCGCACGGCCCGGGATGCTTGGGTCCCGAAGAGCTGCCACTGGCGCGCGGCGCGCCGCCCGCGCTGGCGCTCCGAGTCCAGGAAGCAGCATAGGTCGCGCAGCTCGCGGTTCTCGGCCTGTAGGCGCCGGTTGAGCTGCTTGAGCTCGCGGATCTCGCCCAGGTGACCCTGCAGCTGCCGATTCACCTCCTGCATAAGGCGGCCGCGCTGCACCAGAGCCGCCAGGCGCGCCGCCTCCTCCCGCCGTAGGCGCCGCACCAGCTCTTCCTTGCCCAGCGCCGCCATCTCCTCGTCCGTCAGCTCCTCCAGGCCGCCCACTTCGGCCTCCATAGCTGCTCAGGCCTCTGGAGCATCGCCTGCCCGCGCCGCAGCCCAGGGGCCCCACGTGGAGCCCAGCACCTCTCTGGCTCAGGCTCCGGCTCCGCGCAAAGCAGGCTGTGGCAGGATAACAGAGGTTGCAGCAACCGCGCGGGGGTGGGCACGCGGCGTGGCGCGCGCCGGGGCGGGGCCGCGTTAAGGAAGAACAGCCAATCCAGGGAAGCCTCCCCAAAAGGGGCCGGGCCTGAGCTCAGCTAGGGTCCCTTCCCCGCCTATTCCCGACCGCGGAGTCCCAGATTCTCCCGGACACCGGGTCCCGCCGTCCCCGTACCCCGCGCCAGTCAGCCCGAAACTAGGAGCTTCGTACCCACCAGTTCCAAACTTCAACGAGTTCGATCCTAGGCCTCTCGGCTCCTGAGAACCAATTCTCGGGAGTCGTCCCTGGAACTCTCTAGCCCACTCCCCGACAGAAACCAGACGGATCGTCTTTCCATTCTTCCTTAGCTCGAACTCGAGAGTCTCGGCTCACTGAGCATCACTCCCAGCTCCTCCGAACCCTAAAGCCAAACGTCGTGGCTCACCATCAGCCTACCCTCCCTCCCACGGAGCGTTTCCTACCCGGGGGTGGGGAGCGGGTGACATACAAAGGATTCATTTGTTCAATAAAACTTTATTGTGTGCAAGACCCTTGCAGAAATAAATTTGATCAAGATCCTTATCCTGTCCTTAAAGAAGTCTTAATCTGGCAGGGGAGAGAAGCTGTATGAAGAACCAAACGGAGGAGGGACACGGTCTGAAGGGAGACCCCCCCCCCCCGCAAAAAGTTTCCCAAAAGAGGTGATACCCGAGTGCCCCTGAAAGATGCATAGAACTTTGTCAAGTAATGAGAGACTTTTATCAGGGAGAGGGAATAGCGTGGTGAAGGATGCTGGTGCCTGAAAGGGCCTTGGTGCTTTAGGAACAGAATAGTTTGATTTCTTTTTGAAAGGCAGGTGCGTGGGGAAAGTGGTAAGAGTTTGGAAGAGAGGAAACAAAGGTAGTCGGAAGCCAGATTCTTAAGGGCTTTCAATAGTAGGCTGGAGAGTTTTCACAGGCCAGTAAGGGTTTTAAGCAGGGGAATAACATTTTGATTATTCAGGCTGCTCTGTGTGGGATGGATAGGGGAGGGCATGTAGGCAGGGAGATTAGTAAGAACACTGCGTCAATGGGCAAGGAGAGCTATGCAGAAGGACTGGGCTGGGACAGTGCCAGTGCGGATGGAGAAGACAAAACAGATACTAGAAATATTCAGGAGGCAAATCAGCAGAACTGAATGTGGAGAGAGAGGAGTCTGGGGGAAATCCCAGGTTTCTGGCATAAGAACTGGGTGGATGTTGGAGCTGTGACTGAGGTAGGAACGCAGGAAAGAAACAGATTGGGGAGACCAAGAGGTCTATCTAGCTTTTGGGGGGCCTGTGGGGAGACAGCGTGAAAAGACTCGCAGATTGGGGGCCCTCCAGATGTGGACTTCCAGGTAGAGCTCTGAGCTGCAAAAGAGGACATTAGTTCAGGCGCAGAGGGGTTGGGGAATGGGGTGGAGGCTGTTAAAAACCATGAGATCAAGTGCTCCAGGCCCAGGAGAGATGCTCATTCGTAGGATGGATTGAGAGCTCCCTGCAAGAGCCTTTGGAAGTTGGCCCAGATACCTCTATTGTAGAGAAAAGATTTAGGGATGAGCCCTGTGAACCCCCTAAGTTTAGGATAAAGGTCAAAGTAGAGAGGCTCGGAAAAGGGCAGAGAAAGTGAGGGGGTGGGGGGGAAACAGAAGGAAATGATAGGGAAGGATTCTGGGGCAGAGGAGACTGGAGGGAGGCCTCGACTCCTAACGTCCTCCAGCGACCCCGCCATGGTTGGGGTAAGGGTGAGGACCGAGGAGCCTGGAATTCCTTCTTCCGCCGAGAGGAGGGGCTACTCCACCACCTCCGTCTCTTCCTTCGCCGCTCCTGCCCCACCCGCTCTGTCCCGGAAGTGGTCCTTCTTTGGCTCCGGGTGCGGGGAGCCGAAACTCGGTGCTCCCGGAAGTGGCCCGGCGGCGGTGGCGCGCCCGGCCCGGGCAGTGCTCGCTCCTGCTGGGGCGCTGCGGCTGCGGCTGCGCCCGGGCCCGGGGGTCGCTATGACCAGCGAGCTGGATATCTTCGTAGGGAACACGACCCTCATCGACGAGGACGTGTATCGCCTCTGGCTGGATGGTTACTCGGGTCTGTGGGGGGCCGCCTGGTGGTGCCCGGCGGGCCGAGCGGTTGTTTTGGATGGGAGAGGGGGCGGGTCCTGGACCTGGGCTTCTTTTGGGGAAGAAGGCAGAGGGAGTAAGGGATGTTTGGAGGTGGCGGCTGGAATCCCTAGAGGGGCTCTGAGGTCGGTAGGGCGGGGTCTGATACTAGCGCCCACTCCCCAGTGAACGACGCGGTGGCCCTGAGGGTGCGCTCGGGAATCCTGGAGCAGACGGGCGCCACGGCAGCGGTGCTGCAGAGTGACACCATGGACCACTACCGAACTTTCCACATGCTGGAGCGCCTGCTGCACGCACCGCCCAAGCTGCTACACCAACTCATCTTCCAGATCCCGCCCTCCCGACAGGCGCTGCTCATCGAGAGGTGTGACACTGTATACCTATTGTCAGGCTGAAACGGAGACCTAGGGAGGGATGGGACTTACCCAGCTGTGAGAGAGTTGATAGCACAACGGGCCAATCCCCTGCCCTGCCAGGCCTCTTGTTCCCTCATTTATGGAAAGTCAGTAGTGCACTCTGCCTCCACACAGATACTATGCCTTTGACGAGGCCTTTGTGCGGGAGGTCCTGGGCAAGAAGCTGTCCAAGGGCACCAAGAAAGACCTGGACGACATCAGCACCAAAACAGGCATCACCCTTAAGAGCTGCCGAAGACAGGTGGGCATAACAGCCCCCTTCCCACCAACACAACATCCCATCTGTACACTGCCCCTTCGCTCCATTCGTTCCACCACTGCCCCATCTCCAGCCTCCTCTCTCACCTCTATGGCAGTGGTTTCATACTCAGCCTCCTCTCCCCTGGTTTTACCCCTCCCAAACCATTCTCTACTCTTTGACCAGAGTGACCTTTCAGAAGCCCAGACCTGATCATAGTTTTCCCCTGCCCATAATCTTTCATTGGCTCCCACACCCTCCTGGATAGTAGCCGCACTCATTGACCTCGGGCTTCATACGCGTACTCTCCTGTGATCTTGTCCCTGCCTGCCTCTCTAGGCTTACATTTCCCCAGCGCCCAGCTTTCTTTTGCTCAAGTTCTTACATGGAGAGGACTGATCTTGGCCATACCTACCCCGTTGAAATCCAAGGCAGGGTCAGATGTCGCCTTCTCCGTAAGCCTTTCTGGTAGTTCCAGGGAACAGTAATGCTTTTTCTGGGCCTTTAGTGACTTTTCTGTCTCCTGTAAGATCCCTGTGTACAGCTTAGCATTTGCTCATTTTTTACCTCCTGGGTCTTAGTTCCAGCACAAGCTCATGAGGAACTGGAGAGTACAGTGCTAAAACAGGGGTGAATTCAGAGGTAGGAGTGAGTGAATGTTTATCTGAGGCAAGATGACAGAAGCTGGCAGACATTTGTTGAATTGATCACAGGTATTATATTACTAACTAATAGTTTATTGAAAGAATAACATGTTATATCAGCATCTATTGACTAAATAGGTGGCTAGGTGAGGGAGGGTGTTCAATAAACAGCTTATTGGGTGCGCAATCTGTGACCAGTCCACCCTCTTCCACTAATTGCCCTGCAGTTTGACAACTTTAAGCGAGTCTTCAAGGTGGTGGAGGAAATGCGGGGCTCTCTGGTTGATAACATCCAGCAACACTTCCTCCTCTCCGATCGATTGGCCAGGTGAGGGACCAGGCTAGAAGCCGTCATCTCCCCCATCCTGCCCTGAGGCTGGTCCACCTTCCCCACCCCAACCCTGGCTGTGTTGGAATGGTTATCTCACTCGTGATCTGTACTTTGGATCAGACTGGCCTAAGTTCAGTTCCCGGTCTGACCATTTATCAGTTGGGCTGTTGTGAAGTGCCACATGTAAAGCGCATGGCACAGTCCCTGGGGTTTAGGAAGTGTTCAGTAAATGGTGACCATTACCCTTGTGGTCTCCTGCTGTATCCCTTAGGAGACCTGGGCTGAAACCTCTTTGCGCAGATGAGGAGGCCCAGAGAGAGGTGACTTGAAACACGTCACACAGAGAGTCAGGGCAGAGAGAAGCCAAAACTTGGATGCCCAACAAAAGTTGCAAGTGGGAGCTACTTGCTAAGAAGGAATTTCCAGCCCTGACAGGTGCACTCTCCCCTCCCTATAGGGACTATGCAGCCATCGTCTTCTTTGCCAACAACCGCTTTGAGACAGGGAAGAAAAAACTGCAATATCTGAGCTTTGGTGATTTTGCCTTCTGTGCTGAGCTTATGATCCAGAACTGGACCCTTGGAGCCGTCGGTGAGGCCCCCACTGACCCAGGTGCCCGGACACCTCCCCACCCTCTTGGGGTCTGCTTTCCCACCAGCAGTTTCTCCTGCAGGCCCCCAGTTCCCAGCGTCATTTCTTCTTCAGGGCCCCTCCCCAGCCACCTTTGCTCGTGGTCCAGTGTCTCCACACACACTGTGTTTGCAGACAAAGGGCCCACTACTTCTCCGTGGCTGGAGCGAGTGACTCCACCGCTCTGACACGCCACTTCCTCATCTGTCTTGTGGGGGTGCAATGAGGTGGTGTGAGAGGATTGCTCAGAATATCACAGGAGAGCATTTTATCCCCCATCCCAACTCCGTTCATGGGCTTCACTTAGACTCCCAGGTGGATGACATGGATGTGGACTTAGACAAGGAGTTTCTCCAGGATTTGAAGGAGCTCAAGGTGCTAGTGGCTGACAAGGACCTTCTGGACCTGCACAAGAGGTGACCCTGGGGGCGTCCATGGGGTGGGGCCTGAAAAGGGGACCCCGGCAGCTCTAGGTTTGACCCTTTCTTCCTGCAGCCTGGTGTGCACCGCCCTTCGGGGAAAGCTCAGTGTCTTCTCTGAGATGGAAGCCAACTTTAAGGTTTGTGGCCCAATCCAGTCTATGCCCTTTAGGCATATTCAGCCTCCAATGCACTGTCTCACTAGGCAACTCTGCTCATGCCTTAGATTGGCCGGCAGATGACCTGCTATGCCTTCTGCCCACCTGTGAGGTGGGGAGCCAGCCACCTCCTAAACATTGGGGAGTTATTTGAGGGAGGTGGATAAATTTAGGGAGGGTCCTGTCCCTTTCCCAGCCCTCTGAGGCAGAAGGCAGAACTCCTAGGCTCCCTGTACCCACAGAACCTGTCCCGGGGGCTAGTGAATGTGGCTGCCAAGCTGACCCACAATAAGGATGTCAGAGACCTGTTTGTGGACCTCGTGGAGAAGGTGAGCTGTCCTGCCCGCTGTGCTCATCCCCAGCCTGGCCTGTCTCTAAGCTGTGCCAGTGCTAGATGTTCCTTTGGGCCCACAGTTCGTGGAGCCCTGCCGCTCTGACCACTGGCCATTGAATGACGTACGGCTCTTCTTGAATCAGTATTCGGCATCAGTCCACTCCCTGGATGGCTTCCGGTGAGTGACCGCAGACCTTCTGTCCAGCTTGGCCTCGCCCTAGCCAGCCTACTGCCAGGGCCTGGCCCTCCTGCAGACTCAGGGTTCCCTGTTCTGCCGACCTGGAGGTGGAAGTCTCTCTGTGGACCAGGGTCCTGGCTCCACCTCTTAGAAGCTGTGACCTGACCTTGGGCAAGTTCCTTAATCGCTCATGCCTCAATTTCTGCATATATAAATGGGATGATAATGATAAGGAGCATAAGAATATCGTGAGGATTAAAGAATGAAGGTATATAGAGCAGTATATATATGGTGGGTTGCAGTAAAACTCAGCCATTACTGTCACCGTTATCATTACAGGCACCAGGCCCTCTGGGACCGCTACATGGGTACCCTCCGTGGCTGCCTCCTGCGCCTCTATCATGACTGAGGCCCGTCCCACCACCCTGCCCACACTGACAATAAAGTTGCCATGACTTTGGAGGACGCTCTGGGTACACATAGGCTCCATGTGTGGAAGAGGTGCGTGCGTATGTATCTAAGTGTCGTATGTATAAGGACCTGTGTGTATGTCAGCCCTGCAGGGACTAGGATGTGTCAGAGAATGGTGCTCTCCCTGTCTATTTCCCCATCCAGCTGAATCCACTTAGAAGACGGGGTTTTGTCTTGTTTTATTCAACGCATAGCAAGATGGTTGGGAGGACAGGCAAAGACTTCGGGGTAAGGCCCGCAAGGAGGCAGCTGGCATAGCAGGAGAGCTGAGGGTCGGGCTCAGGGAGGGCAGGTGACTCGCTGTTGCTGCTTCTTAACTGGTTTGGTTACTTGGGCAGTATATGGGTACTTGGTGATGCCGCAGGCATTGCTCCCTCGGTGCAGCCGGAAATAGCCCTAGAAAGTTAGGGGACATCAGGGCCAGAAGATGGGAAGAGACCTGTCCTGCCCGGTCCCCCCCGCCAATAGATCACACTCACCTCTTCACCCCAGTTGACCCCCCAGGAGTTCTTCAGGATCCAGTATGGGATGGAGCGACGAGTATGAGACTGGGATGAGACTGCCCACTTCTCCTCTTTTGATTTGCTCTTACCAAAACCCACCAGCAGAACAGAATGATCCACTTGCTGGGGGTCACAGGTGATGGGCGTGGCCTCGATCACACCCCTCTGGTAGTTCTGCAGGGCCAGGGCAGAGGGGTTGAGTCTGGGGCTACTTCCCCTATATGCCCCTACCCCATTCTTTATCATATCCCACCTGCAATAGCTTCATGTTGATGGTCACGGTGATGGGGCCCTCGGTGGCCAGGTACTGGGCCATTCCTGGGGGTAGAAGGTGTCATCAGGCCCTGCCTTCCCTGTGCCCCCTGCTCTCTGTCTTTATCTCTCTCCCTCCCATCCCCATCCCTCCATCTCTCTGTATGGCCTGGTCTGTCTGTCTCTCCCTGTCATTCTCCTTCCCCCACCCCAGCCACATGCCCCCCCGGGTCTCCACCCTGCTCGCACCCAGCTCGCCACGCGGCAGCATGATGAAGTCCTCAATCCAGGCCACCTTTTGGTACTTCTTGGCCTGGCACTTGTGGGTTCTGCTGTTCTCCTGGTATGGGTAGTCCTTTTCGCTGGCCAGGCCGCCTGGAGATAGACAAGGCCAGGAGGAGACTCAGCTCCAGAGCATCTCCCACCCACAGCTGCCCAGTGAAGCCAGGCACTCACTATAGTTAAGAACAGTCATGTACGCGTCCCAGACGAAGCCGCCACTGCAGCCATCCCCACAGCGGTCACAGTCGAGTAGTTCTGGTGCAAGAAGGGATGATGTGGATGACCAAGCCCCATGCCCGATCCCCCCACCGTCACACATGCCCCCTCTCCCAGCCATACCCTGAAAAGAGACTTCCACAGACTGTCGGTGTTTAATGTTCCACAAGGACTCGATGTTTCCTGCTGCTGCTATGGCCCAGCAGCATTTGCAGCTTTTCTAATGGGGAGGGGGGCAGGAGCTAGATCAGGGGTCCAGGCCTTGCCCCTCTCCTCTCCCTTCCACCACTGGGGTTGAACTGAGCCAGGCTGGGTGGGGGCAGGTACCTGGTCCTTGATGGGTGAGATAACACCAGCCGCCTTCCGCCAGTCACAGCTGCGGGGCACTGACTGCGCCCACTCACCAGATCCTACCTTTCCGTCCACATTGAGGGCCCTTCCAGCTGCCCTTGGATGCCCATAGAGCTGGCCAAACTCCTCCTCTGGGGGACAGATGGGACCACCAAGGTCACAATATTGACCCCTCCTTTCCCATGTTCTGCCTCTCCCACTCCAGCCATCCATATCCTTGGCCATTTGAGTCCCCGCAATATACTGGGAGGTAGAAAGGCAGGGGTGCTGAGGCCTAGGAGACCCAAGTTCCTGCTGCTTCGGTGCTGAGCTGGGCTGGCACACAGGCCTGCAGAGTGCCTGTCCCTGCTCCCGGTGATTTGGAACAAGCACTCAGGCCTCTGGTCCCTAGGATCCCTCTCTGGGAAACAAAAGCCAAGGGTCTGCCCTATCCATCTGCCAGAATCCCTGGACAAGGCTTTGCTTCCCCACCCACCACTGAGGGGCCAGGAAGCGTCCCAGTACCTGTCAGGTCACTGAATGGAGTCACCCCAAACTCGGCTGTGCCCAAGTCTTCCTCCTGCAGCCGCTGAGCCTGGGCTAGGTTGCGGGCAAAGATGTCCAGGCGATGAGCATATTCTAGACCAAAAGGGGGTCATTTTAGGCTGGGTCCCAAGTCCCTGGGGGCAGGAAGTGGCCACCGGCTGGGCTTCCTCCCACCCACACATTCAGATGAGCGCTGGCTTCTTTCCTGTGGCCCCTGCAAGTCCTACCGAGAATACCTAGGCTGAGGACATGGCTCCCCAGCCCACCTGGGGTTGGGTTTTCCCAGGAAGAGAGGAGGGGGCAACTGCCCACCTGGGGGGGGAGGGGATCAAGTAAAGGGTCTGAAGGCAGAGTGACTCAGAAGGAAAGATGTGTGGTCGGAGACTGGCTTCCTGCCCAAACACCACCTCCACCTCCACTTGACACCTCTGATCACAGGCCACGCTGGAACACGGCAGGGGGTGGGGCAGGATGGGGTACAGGTCCACAGCACAGGCAATGTGGGCTGAGAGACACCCACAGATGATCTCCCTAAGGGAGATGAGACCCAGAGAGGGCAGGGTAACTCATGGGGGTGAAGAGGGAACCCCTAACTTGGGGACAAAATGGGTATCCTTGGGCGCTCGCTGAGTGAACTCAGGACGAGACGGTGATCTGCCCGCTGCCTGGAGTCCCAGGAAAGTGGCTATGGATGCAAAGGATCCTCTGGGACTAGGCAGACCTGTAACAGCAGCCACCTCCCTCTAGGTTCACAGTAAAGAATGGCCGCGTCCCACTTGTGCATTCAGGAAGCCAGGGGTACACCTCAAGCCCTGCTGCTGTCCTGCTGAGTGACCTTAGCCAAGCCCGTTCCCCGCATCTGAGCCTTGATGTCCTCATCTAAATGGGATGAGGGGGTTTGGACCAGAGATGTACGGATCATGATACCTGCTGGGTTTGAGTAACTTCGATTGTACTGGATCTGGAACAAAGTGAAGACCTCTTTTAGCTTCAGTGGCCGGGGACCTGGGTCCTGGAAGAAACCAACGTTGGTGAGGGAGGGGGTTGGGTAGGAGTCATTGCTGGGACTGCACTTTGGCTCTCAGCCAGGCAAGGACTGGACTAGGGCATCAGCTGGTTAGCCTGCTGCCTCCCTGTGTGAACTTGGGCACATCAATCACCTCTCCAGCCTCAGTTTCTCCCTCTGAGAAATCGGAACAAGGCAGTTTCTGAAGGGGTGAGCCCCAGGCCTGGGGCTTGCAGAGGGAAGAGTTATGGGGAACAGGTTGTGGGCACTTACCTGGCCCCTGAGGGAGCCCTTGATGTCTTGGGCCAGGCCAGCTACCAACAGCACAAGGAAGCAGGAGAGATGGACAGTTAGTGTCATGGTGCTGACAACCAGAGTGCCAGGGGGGGCAGGAAGCTGTGCAGACCAAGCTGGAGGGGCTGAGAGGGTGGAGCTAGAGAAACCACAAAGGGGAAACCAGGCTGACCCCTCAAGCAAGAGGCATTTAGGCTCTAGTTCCTACAGGGCCCTCTGCCTGCCTATTTCCTACCCTAACCCTTTTTATGTATTCAGCAGAGGCTCTCCACCCACCCTGTTCTGGGAAATTCTTGGGATACAGAAATGGATGTCCCTAAAGTGACGGGGAGGAGGCAGGTCATAAGAGGGCAGTGACATAGGGCCATCAGTGCTGTAGCGGGGAAGTCCAGGGTACTATGGGGAGCCTCAGGACCCTGACAATGGTGCAGATAGAGTGTGGTCAGTGCCCCCTGGGGAAGTACTCTTGCTCACCCTGTGAAGCTGGTCAGCTCAAAGGTCACCCCTTCAAGAAGCCTTCCCTGCTGCTCCATCCTTTGGTGTAACCTACAGCCGCCTGAGCCTCTGCTGTGCCTGCTCCTGCTCTCCGTGTCTTCTTTCCAACCACACCAGAGGTGTCTGATGGCTCCTGTGTCCTCAGCACCCAGGATGCAGCCAGGCATGGTGCAGGCTCCATGAGTGTTTGTTGACTGAATAATTGGTCATCATGGGTTTTAAACAGGGAAGTGCAAGGTCCAGGGGACAGCAACTGGCAGCTACTGCCTCCTTTTCCTCATCGCTGTCACTATCTGAGGATGGGGATGAGGGGTCTGGGTGGGCCTCGGGGCAGAAAGATAGCAGGGTAGGCATCTCAGACAGATCAAGGCCCCAAGTCAGTGACCTATGACTAAGGCCCCATGTGTCACCCCTCAGAGCTGGAGGTCCCAGTGTGGGCACCAAAGTGTCATAAAATCTCTCAGGTGTTAGGGGTTGTGGAAATTTGGGGGAGGAGGGACTGGGGGTGTGGGGCTGGGTGGCCTTCCTCTCTAATCCACTCCCTTCCCTTGAATGTGAGCCCCAGGAGGCCAGGAGATTTTGGTCTTTTTTGATCAGTGCCTGGTCAATGGTGGCCACTCAGTGGACAGTTGTTAAATGAATAGACTTCCCCACTGGATCACTCATTTGTTCATTCCCGTGCTCATCTTGCAGCTCCCTGCTGGCATCCCATGTGGGCTGGGCCCTGGGCCCTGGGGAGGAGCTCAGGACTTGGTGGGAGAGAGACACCACCAACACCAAGTTAAGGCCTTGTGACCCAGTGCAGAAGGGATGAAGGCAGGCAACATCGTTAGGGTCATAGAGGTCAGGAGAGATGTTCTGAGGAGGCAACTCTGAGTGGCAGGTGCATCCAGGCCTAGTAGTGCAAAGACGGAGGTTCAGGTCCAAGTTTGAGACACCAGCTTGTGCACCCAGTCATTGCTCTTTGGTTCTCCAATCCTCATCTTTAAGTGGCAGTGACAATTCCTTTGACTGGAATGACACTGTGCAGCACCTTCGACCCTAGCTGGCACAGAGCAGGTGTTCAAATGGTGGGGTTTTTTTGGGCTGGCCGAGTGGTGCATTGGTTAAGAGCTGGCTTGGGATGCCAGAGGGCCCTGGTTCGGATCCCACATATGAGGGCCAGTGACACTGCCCTCTACAGCTAAGATGCTGAATAACAGCTCAACTTGGAGCTGGGCTGCTGTGAGTCATTGGCGACGGCATAGGCTGCAGCCCCTGCTGCAGTGGGTTGCCATGGGCTACCGTGTGTAGCCAGCAGCCAGCGTGAGTGGCCGTCCAAAAGCCGGCGACTGACCTGCCTCACCCAGGAAGAGTGCAATGATGGTGTCAACTTGGGCCAGTGAAGCAACGTCCTCCACAACGAGACTGAAGAACAAAACAACAGCTACTTGTCTGTTCCCCTTCTCCCAATTCCCCAGCGTTGTTCCCATCCCCCAATTCCCCGATTAAAAAAAAAATCGTTTAAAAAAAGGTGGGTTTTTAATGCTCTACTATGGGGCAAAGAGCCCAGAAAGTCTTGGAGTCAGAGGGACTTGAGTTCAAATCCTGTCCTTACCATTCTTCTGGCTGTACCTACACAAATTTCAGCCTCTGTCATCTGTGAAATGGGGTGATAATGGCATCTCTGCCCTGGTGGGAAGGAGGATTGGAAAGGTGGGAGGTGCATGCTGATGCCTGAATGGTTAGATCTTGACAATCAAGTGCTAATATTTTTATTATTTTTTAAAATAACAGCTTTATTGAGATATGTAATTCATACACCATAAAACGCACCCTTTTAGGGCCGGCCGAGTGGCGCAGTGGTTGGGAGTTGGCTTGGGACGCCAGCTCTGAGCAGCAGGACCCTGGTTGGGATCCCACATGAGGGCCAATGACGCTGCGCCCTCTACAGCTAAGATGGTGAACAACAGCTCGACCTGGAGCTGGGCTGCCGTGAGTAGCCGGCAATGGCGTAGGCTACAGTGGGGCTGGCCGGAAGCAGGAGTGAGCTTTCATGAGCCACAGTGAGCCACATTGCAGACTGCCTCACCAGGGAAGACTGCAATGATGATACCAACATGGGCCAGTGGGGCAACATCCTCCATGACTAGACTGAAGAACAAAAGGACAGCAACTTGTCTGTTCCCCTTCCCTGATTCCCCAGCAATGTTTCCCTCCCCCAATTCCCCAATAAAATCTTTTTAAAAAACCACAAAACTCACCCTTTTAAAGTGTATGTCAGTGGTTTTTAGTGTATTTGCATAACTGTGCAACCATCACCGCTATCTAATTTCAGAGCATTCTCATCATCCCAAAAGAAACCCCACACCCATTAGCAGTCCCTCTCTTTGCCCTTTCCCCCTGGCAAACTCTAGTTTGTCTCAGATTTGCATATTCTGGATGTGTCATGTAAATGGAACATGTGACCTTTCGCATCTGGCTTCTTTCACCTAGTGTAATATTCTCAAGATTCATCCATGTTGTAGTAACATATCAGTACTTCATTCCTTTTTATGGCTGAATAATATTCCATCATATTTTTTATCTATAAAAATTTTGTTTATCCGTTCATCAGTTAATGGACATGAGATTGTTTCTATATTTTTGTTCTTATGAGTAGTGTTGCTATCAACAGTGTGTACAGATTTTTTTGTATGGACGTTTTCAATCCCCCTGGGAATATACCTAGGAGTGAAATTGCTGGGTCATGTAACATTTTGAGGACCTGCTCGACTGTTTTCCAAAGCGGGTGCACCATCTTACATTCCCACTCACAGTGTATGAGGGTTCCAATTTCTCCATACGCTTGCCAACACTTGTTATTGACTGTTTCTGCGGTTTTATTATTTTTAGCCTCCTCACGGAAGTAGCTAGGAAGGATTTGGGGGTGGGGGAGACACTCTCCAGGTCACCGTGAACCCCAAGGGCTCACCCTGGGACCCACTGGCATGTCCCTCCCCAGCATAATTGCCCTCCCGGGGCGGGGCCGCATTCTGGGCGATAGTCAGTATAAACAGGGGTGAGAAAAGGAAGGGAGGGCTCTCCAGTTCCCGCACGCCGTCTACCCCCAGGCGGGGGATCCCTGGACACGCAGCCTTTTCCCGTCTGGCCCCGCCCTGAGACGTGGGCAGGGTGAGGCCCCGCCCCTTCCTGGGAGCCAACTCCGCCCAAACTCCTCCCTCAAAGGCTCTCCCTCCACTCGTGGAAGGAGGCGGAAACCCGGGAGGTGGGGGACGCGGGTGGTTGAGGGCGGGGATGGGTCTGGCGTGAGACCCTGGCGTCCTGCACGTCTGTGTTTAGCCCTGCCCGCCTTTTCAGGGGCTTCCATTCATTCTGGGCCAAAAAGGAACTGCCCCCGCGCCCTCAAACTGTTGTAGGTTGCAAGACGGAGGGCTCCAGGACGTCGTCCTCGAGTGAAGGGACCACCTGGCTGAAAACAGCCCTGAGGATGGAGGGAAGAGGGGACACAGATGAACTACTCTGGGCCTGGGAGCATCTCGTCCTCGGGCGAGGGTCTGGAGACCCTCAATGAAGTTTTAGTATTTCCAGAGTCACTGTCTGGGTGCACAGAATGAAATTCTGCAGGATCTAGATTGAGGACTTGAAAGCTCCAGTATTAGTTAGGTCTAGGATGACGTTCTGGGAGGCGCAGGGTGAGTCTGGGGGCCCCTGCCTTAAGATGTGGGTGCACAGGATGGAATTCTGGGGGGTGCAGATTAGATAGGGTCTGGGTGCACAGGATGACAATTGGGGTGCACAAAGTGAGGGCCTGGGGACTCTCGGGTGTGTCTGGGGGGCTGGCATCAGGGCCAATGCCCCCAGGATGGAGCACTGAGGGACCCTGGCCCAGAGCCGGTAGGCGGCTCCGGGCGGCGCCGCGGGGGACCGGGTGGGGGCCTGCGGCCGGCCGGGGGCGGAGAAGCGGGGGGTCGGGGTCCCTCCCCCTGGCGCGGGCTCAGGAATCCGCCGAGGGGAGGGCGGAGGCGCCGGGGTG